CCCATTTTTTCTCTCATAGTTGAGGTATACCTATGATGAAAATTACAGGCCTCTCTCATCTTTTTAAGTGGGAGAACTTGCACAATTGGTGGCTGACTAAATACTTTTTTGCCCCACTGTATTATAATGTTGTCTGTTAGCCAAACATTTTAGCTTGTATCATTCTGTAAGGATTGGTCCTTGGAGTGAACTTGTATCTTTAAAATATATTTAAGGTGGTGGAGAAAATACATGTACAAGGAAAAGCCATGAAAAATACCTTGTAGCTTTGAAAGGTTCTGGACTGACATTTCCTGAAGATAAGCTTGCATGTGGAATGCAGGATCAAGCAGCTGGAGCTAGCGCTTCAGTAGTTCAAGGTTTGTATTAAAAAAAATACTTGTAATTATTACTTGAAGAATTCCCAACTTTGATTTATTTATGTTAACATATAGAACTTTTAAAGTGGCTTATGAAATGTTCTTGAAAGTGCACAAATAAAGGGAGCAAAAAGTGTATCAAAATCCTTATTCAGTTTTCAAAATTGGGGAATATCTGATTCTTAAATACCAGTTTAAATTACGTAGAAATATTAGGACCCCTTTCTGATAAGTTTAGAAAATACAACATTTTGAATTACAAATAGTAATTGTGCTAAAATGACATTTCAGTAGTAGCAACCTACATTTGTGTTCCATTCTAGAGATAGTACCAAATCACAAGTATCACTTAAGAATTTAGCATTTTCCAGTTAGACTTTAATTTCAGATTCTAAAGAATTAATGTAGGTTTATATGGAAGAAGAACTGTAGGTTTGTTTTTAAAATATTTTTCCAGTTTTGTGTGAATTACAAAGGATATTTTAATTTTTAATTTCACAAGGTTTTGCAGGTGCTACACCAGCTTCAGGGCAAGGTGACTCTTCAGATGAGGTGAGATTTCTTCAGAATAAAATAAAGTGTAATCTTATGTGACAGAAATTAATATATCATGAGCCTCATTGTATTTGTCTTTGTTAACAAATTGATTGAATAGTATCATTTATGCTGAAAATGCCTCCACTAAGAAAACTGTTATTACTGCTCTTGTTGAACTAATTTTTCAACTTTAGAAATCATAGCATAGATAGCAATTTCTGAAAATAGGCTAGCTTAATATCATGTGAATTTAATCGTGTAGAACAGGTTTTAACTAGTGTTACTGAGAATATGATATGCATCTTTCTAAATCTGTGGTTGAATCAGTAATGGCTATTACATTTTTTTCACATGTTCTACATTTATAGCATTATAAATCAGTATTTATCTTAATATATGTAATAAAGATAAGAGCGAAAAAATGAATCCTGGCATAAATATGCATTCAGTTTTCTAAACCAGGAATTCTCAGAACAAGAAAAAGCCCTTTGGATAATTCTTGGATCAGCTTCTTCCTGACTTCCTCTTAACTTTCAATCAATCTGTGTAGTGCAAAAATAAAAAGGAAAAAATAGGGTAAGAGGACCACTGAAGCTTCAGTCTCTCTGCAGTTCTGGCCTGGAACTAGGCTCCTGGCTCACGGTCAAGAAGGATTTAGCTAATGTAGTTTCCACATATGGAAGCAAACAGTGCCATATGTTGCAACTATGTGCAGAGATCACCTTCTTGTTATAGGTACACATGGATGCTGAAAGACTTTTTAATCATACATAAATGGAAAGAGTTACTGTGATAAGCTATGTCCATAATTAAAAATAAAAATTGTGAATGAAAAAAGAAAAAAAATAACATTTTAAATAATAGGTTTTATAAATTTATAAAATATTTTTCTATTATATGGTCCTATTTAAATGTTATCCAAACCAAGAATCATATTTCAATGGAGAATCCACTCAATAAATGGATGATGTTACATTGTGAAGATGTAGCCAAGAATTGGTTGTCTTTTTACTTTTCCAAAAAAGGCAGGATTTCACATTATGAAAGGTCTTTGAATTCACTAGCTTCTTTCAGGTCTTCTCTGTCTCTTGCCCAGGACAGAACTTTTCCTCCTATTTTCACTCTGCGATTCTAGTTCTAAAGCTATTTATCTCCCAAAGCTTTTATTTCTGACTTAAGCTTTCTTATGTCTCAATTATATAATTATAATTGAAAATATATATTATGTCTGAAAGCTTGCTTGTCTTGTTCCATTTCCTTTGAGTGTTCTTTTTTTTTTTCCAAACCAGTCACCTCTTTGACCCTGTCAAGGACCCTAAGTGAATATCTCCAAATCCTTGAGTAAAACCAAGAGTCACCCATTGGGGGAGATGGGCGGCATACAAATTTAATAATTAATAAATAAATAAATAAATCTCAACGACTGTTGGTTATGCTTGTATCATTGCATCGCTTTCAGAAAATCTCCGAGAGCCTATAAACAATAGTTCCAGCTGCTATTCAGGCCACTCAGAAACTGTTTATGTGAGTTACAACATTATTTTCCAAGACAATAATGTGGTATTTAGTTATACGCAGGCTCAGTTGTGCTATGCCTAGCACCATTGAGACTGTTCCTCAAGGTCCACTGTTGAGTATTAACCACTATAGAAGCTTCTCAGGCAAGCATAATTTGGGGTCATATAAAATTTCTCTAGAGCTGAGTAGATTTGTTGAAATGGGTATATGGCATAGGGGTGGGGATGTGGGAAAGTCCCTCTGTCTTTCCTACCAAAACCACTTGTATCATTTAGGTTCAGTAAAAGTAATCAGTGCAGAGGAAGACCACTGAAAGCCCTAATCAACATGGAGCAAGGGATTAGCTTCTTCCACTAATCCTAACATCTATGACAACCTCTTTTTAGTTTAAATAAATTACTTGCTCCCGGGATTGCCTCTGCTTTATGAAACACCTCTCTTTAAAAAAGAAATAGCGAATTTATTATTTTAATTGATCTGTTTAGCTAAGACAATATTATATCCATCCAAGACCTTGCCTTTCTTTGGATTTTTAGTACATAAAAATAATTATCAACTTCTTCTGGGCCATTTTAGTACTATATCAGTAAACCTGTTTGCATCACTGACAAATTGCAGTCCAGATCTTAGGGATGCTTTATTTCTTCCTTCAAGTCTTCTACTTTCCAGTATCCTGAGGCAAATCAAAATTAATAGCTGTTGATGACTGAGTCAAGTTTAGGATAATGTTTGAATATGGATCCCTGGTTTATCCTCCAGGGGAAAAAACACCAAGAAAATGAAAGCTATGACTACAGTGGCTCACTATTGTATCCTAGGATCTACTGTCCTTGCACCTAGATGATTTAAAGCTTGCTATAGACATTGAGGATACAATATCTATTTGGCCTCAGGATGTTCCAGCAATTCTGCCTAAGTTTTCACTAATTCAGCTTCCTTGATAGTGTTCTCCATTAAGGCACTTCCCTCAGAGCTTTGTATAGTAGCCAGTTGGCTCACTTCTATATCTGTAGAAGCAGTCTTTAAGATAAGTGTATTCCATCCCATTTCTGTTTTTGGAGATCAGCAATAATTGCAGCCATATTTAAGTCAGCTTACGTACATTCCAGTTTCCCAAAACTGGGAAAACAGCATCAGTTATACTATGAAGATTCCTTCTGGTTTTATAAGTACAGAGGCATCTTGAACCAGCCATGAGTGAGTCAGAGGAATACAATGCAGTATTAGTTTTGTAGAGTCCTTGGTGCTCTCTGAGCTTGGTTGTTTGATTGCAGACGGATGTTACTTAGTCGGGTAATGAAACATCTGCAATCAAACAACCAAGATCAGAGAGCACCAAGGACTCCATAGTTCAACCCTGAGCTATATATATTCTCTTCTATTAGTATTGGTCTTATTACACCTCAGTTTGCTGATACGTTCCTCATCTTCTAAGACCTAATTGTACTGGAGAAAATGAATCTAACAAATGAAATGAAGACTGCACGCTCCCTTCCCTCATCTTTTAGATATGACCAGGGTCAAAACCTAGTTCATCTCTTTGCCTAATCCCATCAGACCCAAATTGACGCTCCCTGCCCCAGATAAAGCCCCCTGCAAACCCAACTCATCCAAAGAAGAGATGCTTCCTCACCAGTTCACAACACAGCTCAACGGCAACCCTTACAAGGAAACTGCAACCTAGAGAAATCCTAACCTTCCATCCTCCATCAGCTGGTGACCTCAACATTCCTTTTCCTTTAAGAATGAACTTCCCCAGATCTGCTGCCCTCCTGAAAGGTCCGTTTTGCCTCACAATAGAACTCACCCCAGTTACACTGACAAGGACCTGCCTAGCTTCCCCAAACTGGCCAGCAAATCAGATCCCTAGCATCTCCCACCTGGTACCCCTCAACTTCTATAAATTTTTTGCAATGAAATTGCTGACAATTTCTCCTTGGTGTTGTGCTCCTTTGGCAAATTCCACAACATTATTGCCATAGTGAGATGGAACTAGGGGAGAGTCAGAAGGTACTAAGCCTAAGTCAAAAAGATTTCATCATTCTGAAGGCTCTGCCTTTTCTGGGTTGTTGAGTTAATCTGTTGCTGGAGGCTTCCAGTATTCCAAATCAGGCAGAATGTTCAGGGCATGTGCCCAATGTTCTCTTTTGCTTTTTCTTTTCCTTTTCAAGTCAGTGAATTTTGTCATATTCTTCTTAGTTCTTTTTAAATCTGTTTTTTTGCTGTTCTTCTAGAAATAGCTTGACATAGCAGAAATTCAGCCAACAAAACTTTCCCTTTTGTATTGTTGAGACTGCTAAATTTCTGCAGGTCAGTTTATTATAAAAGTTGCCAGAGTAAAACTAGTCAAAATCTATCTCTTCTTGAAAAACCATAATTGATAGCAGTATTTCAGGTTCAGCTTTAGAATGTGACTTTTCTGATGTTATTTCAGACTAGTTTTCAGCTATGATTGTAGAAATAGAATGTGATACATGTTTCTAATCTCAGCAAAAGTTTTCAGGACCATACCAAACTGTATTTGTAGGGGAAACAGAATGAGGTCTTTAGTCCCACAATGTAGAAAATGTTAATTGAATCATAGGATCTATTACATTCTAGCAATACTATTTATATTGGTATCATTCAGTGTACTATGGCTTACTTTAATTTTTTTAATTAAAGTATTTCTAAAAAGAACACTGAAGTTGAAATCAGTGTTTTACATTAATGAGGCAAACTAGTCTCTACAGAATATTGGACACAAAGGAATATCTGAAGTAAGAGTGTATAACCAGAGGGCCAGGAGTTGCATGCAAAACCCTGAAAGGCTTGGATGTAGCCCCCAGGATTAGTTTGAAAATTGCCACAAAATTATATTTTTTCAATATGATAGACGGGAGAAAATGTTCCCTAGGGAACAATCTTATTAACTGAAATAAATATTTGGGTGTTTTTGTCCTGGTTATACCTGCCTTTTGAAAATGGCCCATAGCATTTGGTCTGAAGAATGTTGCATGCCCCAAATATAAAGTAAGAGGATTTAGATGGGTATCTGATACAGGGATCTTTTGGGGTAGGACTGGGCAGAATCAGGATACCCACGGGTATTTGTGGTGTTGAAAAAGAGAGATCCTTTTCAGTGCAGGATTTACATTTGGAAATGTAAAAGGCTCCTGAGTACATAGAGGAGGATACAGGAAATGGATATTTAAGAGCAATATACTTTCTAAAGATTGGATTATTTAATTTTGCAATTTTAGGATACAGTTTACTAAATTCCTTATTAACCAATTTTTTTATGATAAACAGAAAACTTTAAAATGCATGTAAAATCCATATAGATATAAAATCTGAAATTCAATTAGCTTCATTGTGATTTTTCTACTTGGATGAAATTAAGCGTAGCATATTTACTTCTAGGAAAGTAAAAAAAAAGTCTAATGCGTTTGTTTTCTTATGATATTGGTGTATTTCAACTGTTCTTGCTCCAGTATATTCCCATTATTATATATCAGTAGTGTAGATATTACATATAAAGACTGACATCGTATGAGAGTGTCAAGGAATGTTCAAGCAGTTACTGAAAACTTGATCTTTTCTGAAATTCATGATTCCACTTTTGATATTTATGTAATGGATTTATTTAAATGAATCCTCCTTTAGGTTCCTCTGAATAACTAGATTTCCCTGTCATGAAGGAAAGATAAATACTTAATTAGTTTTATAATTCAGGAGAATGCCATGATACTGTTTCAGTAGGTTGCCATTATATACACTTCCAACTTGTTGATGGAAGAAATTTCTTGTAGTATATAACATTTAGGTATTAGAAAATGCTTTGGGTTCTTCTAATAGTGCTTAAACATTGAATGTTTACAATCATTTTCTAATAAACTGATATTGTGGTCTTTTGCAAATGTTTCTAATTGAGTGCATTGTAACTTAACAGTTATATAACACCTTTTAAGTCATTTTGCCATTAATCAGCAAATATCTCATTGATTATGCTTTTCTATCTTAACTTACAATTTTAGTAATTCTTTAAAGACAGTTTATGCAGGATAAGATCCACCAGTGATGCAACCATAAAAATAGTTAGCAGCAGCAGGAGGACGTTTGAGAGGGACTATAAGAAGCTTTCTGATGAAGAATATATTTTAATAACCTATTTCCAATAAATAATATGCTAATATTTAGCTTGAAATATTGGAAGTGTTTCTGAATAACACGTGGCAGTAAATTAATGTTCCTAGGGGGAGTCTGTTTCCATCTTTTTTTCCCCAGAGCACAGCACAACAGATCTGATGTTAAGATTTTTCTATTTATCCATTTTCAATCTCTTTATCTCAGGAGGACCAGGATGGTAGCCAAGGTGTGGGAAAATGCAAGAGAGTAAAATTAAGCAACACCACCAAAGGTATATAGTCAATTGTTGTTGGATACTTTATGTTTTATAACTGAGTTTCACCCAACTGATAGTTTTGAGCTTCCTTGGATGAGGATGAGTGTGCTCTCAAATCTGTAATGTGTATGGTATTGTAGAAGCAAAAAAATGTATCTTAAATATGAGCAATATAGACTGACTATAAAGACTTAGTAGTAGATGTATTGTGCCTGTTTTAGGTTCACCTATTCAGTTCTAAAGGAAAAGTGAATAAAAGAGTTAAAAAGATGGTTTCTTCTTGCCCAGTATAATTGTATTGCTACCACACTAATTAAGGCTGTCAGAGGCCTATTTTTTTAAAGAAATATATTCCAGCTATAAGAACTCTCTCAATCCAGATCTTTCTTTTCCATTCTGTCAATGAGCAGAAGCTTGGGGGTGGGGTGGGGGCAAAATATCAAGATAGTGCTTGTGACTGTGTGATCGAAACTCTGCCTCTAGTAAATGTGGGCAATGTTGAGGCTTATGTAGGAGGAGTGGGGCTTCAGTCATGAAATTCCAACTGCCATCTTGATTTTTTTGACAATCCCCTCCTCCCCCACAGATGCTGCTGAGTGGTAAGTTTTCTGTGACTGTGTAGAATCAGGAGCATTGGACAGGCATATGACGTCTTCTAAAATATGGGTTTTTCAAATAAAGAGATTTTGGTTTCTGTCTCAAAAATATCCTGATGTGTTTTGTAATCTGTTAGAAACTGATTTAAAATTTGCCTACAGGTAATGGCCTCCTACACTTATTTGTACAGTAACTGTAGTGTAAGATAACAGTTACGATGGACTTAGAACAAGGAGTTCTGTCTTTAAGCTCCCTCTTTTTTTTACTGACTGAGTGGTTTTGAGCCAGTTGTAAGTCAAGCCTATTGTGTAAGATTGTTATTGTAGTTGTAAAATTAGGAAAGATCTCCCATGTACGCTGCCTTAAACCTGTGAAAAGGTGATGTACTGTATATATGCAATAATTATATAAATAATTGAATATGAGCATTTGCAGAAAAGAGCTCTTCCTTTGTCCATATAAAGCTTCCTGGTCTCATTTCACCCAACCAGGCTTACTTTAACTCCTGATATCCAACTGGTGAAAAAAAAGGTAAAAAATGTCTGCAGAAGAAGATTCATTTTATAGCCTTGCCCTTCTCTCTTTCTACATATTCCTTCTTTCATTTGTATTTCCTTGAATAGTTCAAATGATCTTCCCAGTATATAACTAAGAATGCAGAAAATAGTTCTAATGAAACTTGAACCCAAATTAATTAGATATACAATAACAGCTATCCTTCATTCAGAATGAATTGTGGACTGTCTCTACAGTGTTTCACTTCCATGGATATAAGGGAGGAGGGCTAAAATAAGAGCAGAACGGGAGTAGAGGGTAGAAGTCTTCATCTATCCCTTTCCCAGTGGCATGACTCTTTGATTAGGCTATTATTATTAATGGTTTTAACTGTAGTTTTAAAAAAAATATAGAAGCTTTTGGCTAAAGAAGACTGGGGCACCAACCAAAACTTGTTCCCAGTTCAGTGGGGAATTGCTGGATTTGTCAGTCTTCTGAAGATGGCTCATCAAATAAATCATTTTCCACAAGCACTGATGGATTCAGTCTGCTGGATCATGCAAGTGCAACCATGGTTGGATCCAGATCTGTACTTTCTTCCTGTGGCCTTGGGCTGCTTGAAAACATGGTCCACAAGATTGGGTGACATTCTGTGACACAATGAAATGTAGAAAAAAAAGTGGGATTGATGCAAATAGCCTTTCTTACAATGAAGATGATTTGGTGAACTTCATACCCTTCTATAAACAGAAGAAATCCTTTAATTTGTGGAATGGACATTTTGGATCCCAAACCATTATGAGCTGCAACAACAGAGAGAGAGAGAAAAGAACACACAAACGCTCACACCACAAATTAATATTTATTTATTTTTATTTGGACTTTATTTGCGTGAGGCTGTTAATGCCACTCCTGATGGCATTAACAGCCTCACGCTATAATAAAATAAAAATAGAGCTGCAGTAGTATCATTAAATTAGCTATCAAAATGCTCTCAATGATGCTGGATTTTGATATAAGTTACTAAAAAGTAAATTATTTGTATCTATGCTAAGAAAACCACTAAATCTAATGCAAGATTTGATCAGTTATTCTGAGGAGAACATACTTTTGCTTACCATGTTGCTGGATTAATTTGTTAAGATATCGACGCTAGTAAAGCCAAAATGTGATGTTCTCTCTTGAACCCCTTCATCTAGCTTTTATTCTCATTTTTGTACAGATCAGTCCATCATGGATGTTTTGAAGCATAAATGTTTTCTAGAAGAGTTATTATTTTGGACAATAAAATATGAATTTCCTCAGAAAATGGTAACTTTCTTACTGAACATGCTTCCAGATCAAGATTATAAGGTATTAGCATATTTCTTCTTTCTTTTGTCCAGACAGTTCTTATAGTAATTTGTGTAAAATCATTTGCAGTAGTCTAAGGCAGATGTTAGGGAGAAAAGTCCAACAATTTAATACAATATTCAGGATATTAATAGAAAATAGAATAGAAAATAATAATGTGAAATAAGTTGCAGTAGTTTAAAAGATCAAGTTAGGTGATTGAAGGAGTCAGAAGTGTTTTAAACAATGTTCTGAGTTGGGAAGAGGTGAAAATATAAAACCTCATTGGTAGATCCCTTTTTCCAAAAGCTACCCACTAAAGATAATTATGCTTAGTTGCCATTAATCATACTGAACCTCTTGATTCACTCGTGGTCTACCAAAAACATCTTCCTTCAGGCCAGCTCTTGGAAGAATAGAAAGGATGGTGTCATTCTGCCCATAACCAGAAATACAGAATTTAACAGAGGAGTAGCTGTGTAGCCAAATACTGTTGTACATCAGGAAGGTTTCAGATCAAGCAAATTAACCTAAATGTTTGGATATAAAAAGGAATTTATTAGGAAAGATGGAATATAGGAAATACAAGGGAAGGTAGCTATCACACAGAATTTGAATAAAATCAATATAGTCAGCCTAATTTAACTAGGTATTTATCTCTTTGAATAAGATTATTTGGTTTCAAAACTTGTTTATTGCAGATAGGGTGGTCAAAGAGAA